TGAATTCGGAGGCGGAGACGTGCCAGGTGTAGTCGAGCAGACGTCGACACGTGGACCGAGTCAGCTCGCTTTATTGAAAAATCTTTTATGGGCTTGGGCTTTTCGGAAGCCCAAATAAAAAATTGGTCAGCCCTTCACTCTGTTCTCCTCCAACTACTAGAGCATCTAAATCTCTTCCTCTGGTCGCGACGGCGAAAAAGAAGAAAAGCAAGAAAGATGATAATCATGGATTTTCCGTTAAACCTGACGAAGCCACTGGTCCATTTCCTAAACCCATTCTTCTCAAAGAGGTTCTTAATCTCTTCTTTCAATGGCTGATTTCGATTTTGTAAAAAAAATTGTTATTACCGATTTGTACTAAGAATCGAAGAATATATGGAAATTGATGTATTAGACTTTCTCTATGTAGTAATGATTATATTTATCAGTCTCCATTTCTGGTCCAACATTGATGCTGAAGTTGTGTAATTGTTAATTTTGTATGGATTGGATTTTGCAGAAGAAGGTCGATGAAGAAGGTGAACGAACTTCTTCCTGAGTTTGCTGATGCTGAAGAAAGTAAGTGATTGTGTTTTTAAAACTATCTGCGTGTTGGTTTTTGGTTACCTCGAAGATTTAGTATTTAATAGTATTGTTTCTTTCTTATTATTTTTACAGAGGAGCTATATGAGTTTCTGGATCTTCAGCTTCAGAGTGACTTGAATGAGGAAAGGAGTAAGTTCTTCTTCTTTAAACCGTTTTTGTTTACTCTTTCTGTTGCAACCCGGCGAAATGTGCGTACGCTTTATCTGGAAGCTGATTCTCTGGTTCTTTTTAGCTAGCATTACCCTTGTTCTTTCTCCTCTCTATATATATGATGGTTTGTATAAAATCTCAGCTTCCTTATGAAGAAATGGTGTTAAAGTAAGATAAAGGATATGGCAACTTTGGGTTTAGGAGAGGAATTTGGAAATATGTATATATTGTTTTCGTTAGATGGTCTGGAGCTTACCTTAGAATATGATCAAACCTTGACACTTTATTAGTTAGTAGTCAGATAGAGAGAAAGTCATGGATTCTGTAATCGGTTTTATACTTCAGGTACGAGACTATATCCATGTTGTTGATCTAGCGGATGGCCATATTTCTGCACTTCGAAAGCTAGACGATTCTGAAATAGGTAAGGTTTTTCTAAAGTAAATAGCTCATTGCCTCGTCGCTCGACAATTGCTTATATATGCACGCTTAGCTGTTTGACTTGGGTCTTGTGCTAGGTTGTGAGGTATACAATCTAGGAACCGGGAAAGGAACAACAGTGTTGGAGATGGTTGATGCATTCGAAAAAGCTTCTGGAATGGTAAAATCACT